TGCACACACATACCTATTCCACACATGTGCACACACATACCTATTCCACACATGTGCACACACATACCTATTCCACACATGTGCACACACATACCATTCCATACATGTGCACACACATACCTATCTATCTATCTGTCTATCTATCTATCTATCCATCCATCCATCCATCCATCCATCTGCCTGTACTATCATCTGTTGGTTGCTTCTTGCTTGCTTTCAGGGGTCTTGATTAATATGCTCACGCTGGTCTAAAACTTTCCTGGGATCAAAATGATCCTTCTCCCCCAGCCTTCAAGATAGTTTGCGCTGCAGGCATATGGCACCATGCACAGCTTACCATCCTACAGCATCATCTGCTGAGTACCCAGTCCAGTCCTTCCCACTCTGGCACTGAGATGACCATTTGTTGGAGATACAATTTTTGGCTTGTAGCTCAGAGTGGGACTTCAGCTGGAGGCATAATTCGGTGGTAGAGCACCCACCTGGCATGCTTGAAGCCTGGATTCCATCTACAACGCCAGGGAAAAACTGATGAAAGGGTCTTTTGGCAAGTGTGGCATGACTGAGTGGCCTGGTTAAATGCCTCCAGGAACCAGCCACTGAAGAAGGGACACAAGCAATCATTCCTTCTGGGGCTTGGTACAGAACTATTTCATAACGACGTCCTCAGGGAGCAAAACTGTGAGGACGCTGACAGAGCCTGGGGCCTCCAATCGCCCTGAAGAGTGTGAGAATTCTAGGACATTTTTATTAATACCCCGTTCTATTAATAATCTGTACATTTTGCATATACAAAGTTAACCTTTGGACTTCACCTCCACATTTTAGAGCATTCTTCTAGCCTGTGGGCTAGATAAACAGGTCAGCAGGTCAGCTTTTTAATATTAAGCAGATGAAAACTGTGGACCTAATTAAGTGCAAAGAGTACCACTGTGCCTATTATTTCTGGGGCTTCATTTGTATGGGATTGCCATAGCATGGTGGTAAGGTGAAGGACAAGTCTCTGGGGCTTTTGACTGTCCAGGAGCACCAATATGGCCTAGAGCAGCGGTTCTCAACCTTCCTACTGCTGCGACCCTTTAATATAGTTAGTTCCTTATGTTGTGGTGACCCCCAGCCATAAAATTATTATTTTTTTTAAAGATTTATTTATTTATTATGTATACATTGTTCTGTCTATACATATCCCCACAGGCCAGAAGAAGGCACCAGATCTCATTACAGATGGTTGTGAGCCACCATGTGGTTGCTGGGAATTGAACTCAGGACCTTTGGAAGAACAAGCAGTGCTCTTAACCTCTGAGCCATTTCTCCAGCCCATAAAATTATTTTCATTGCTACTTTATAACTATAATTTCGCTACTGTTATGAATTGTAAATATCTGTGTTTTCCAATGGTCTTAGGCAACCCCTGTGAAAGGGTCATTTGACCTCAAAGGGGTTGCAACCCACAGGTTGAGAAACACTGGCTTAGAGCATGATTTCCCCTCCCCCAACTTTAGTGTCTGGTCATAAGGAAGACATGAAAATGCTTGTCGGAACAGACGGGCCCCATGGCTGAATCGTAAGCGGCTGGGAAGACACAGGATGGCTAGAGACTAGTAAAGGGCACGCAGAGTCAGCCAGTGTATGCTTCAAGGATACAATACAGTTGCCGGAACACAGCAAAGGTAATGAAGGAAATGACTACAAATAAGGGTAAGCATGGAGTTCAGGAGTGGGTCAGTCTGTGCTCGTCTTCAGGGCGGTGGCTGGGCTTGCTCCATGGAGATGGAGATTTAGGTCTGTAAGCTACATCAGAAGTAACAGTGCGCCCTACCTCGTGCATTGACTGGGCACTTACTTATTACACTTTTTGTATCTTTTCTTCATTAGTAATTTATAGCCAGGCCTGGTGGTATACACCTATAATCCCAGAGATACAGGAGGCTGAGGCAGGAGGATTGAAACTTCAAGGCCTGGAGTCTACTGAGTGAGTTCAAGGTCAGCCTGGGCAATTTAGCAGGATTATCTCAAAATAAAAAGTGAAAAAGGGCTGGGAGCAGCTAGATATGGTGGGGCACACCTTTAATCCCAGCACTCAGGAGGCAGAGGCAGGAGGATCTCTGAGAGTTCAAGGCCAGTCTGGTGTACGTAGAAAGTCCAGGACAGCCAGGACAACATAGACCCTGTCTCATAAAAAATGCTGGGAATTCAGGTCAGTGGTAGCTTTGTCATCGTGTGCAAAGGGCCCTGGTTCCCTAGCCTTTCTCATACACACAGGCACACATTTCCTTTCCTTTGGTAATTTTGGGGATGATACCTAGTTCTTTGCAGACACTAGTGAGTCCTGATCTATACCCCAGTCCTTCTATGACTTCTTTTTGTGATCTTTCTTATATACAATATCTTATAATTTTTTATTTAAAAATTTTTTTTATTGATTATTTGGGAATCTCATATCATGCATCCCATCAGCTCACCTCCCAGTCTCCCCATGCCTGCCCCTCACAACCCCGCCTCCCAAAAAAGGGGAAAAAAAGTCCATTTTGTATTGCCCATGTATTCACTGGAGCATGGTCAAATTAATGGTAGCCAGCCCCCCAAGAGAGGATGAGTATTTCTCCACCTGCATCCACACCAGAGGCTATCAACTGAGGAGAGCTGAGCAGTGGCTAGAACGGGGCGGGACTTGCTCTCCTGTGAGGGGTGTACCAACTCCCATCCATCCATGGCAGGTGTCACTGTGGGCAGGGCCAGGTCCACCTTGAGGTGCAGGGCCAGCTCCTTCAGACCCACTGACATTAGCATGGCTTCAGGACATAGCTCCGACCACCAACATCCACGTGGGCTTTGGTTGTAAAATGACTCTTGGCTGTATCAGGACCCTTGATCCACTTGTGGCCCTTAGAGGCTGCACGGACCATGAACGTTGACATAACCTCAGGTGGTTACACATGTCACTCACATCAGCAAGGCTCCCAGAGACAGCAAAGCCTGGGGACATCACTGAGACATCGGCGGCAGCACAGACTGCATACATCCACGTGGATCTCAGGCTTCATCACAGCCTGGGACAGCAGCATGGACCACCAACACCAACCGTGGCTTCTTGTGGCGTGGCAGACCACAGTGGTCCTTAGAGGAGGTCCAAAAGTGAGCCTTTCCTCATCTCAGGCCTCTGCCAGTGCCCAGAGCCAGAAGGATCCTGTGACCGGGTAGCAGGTTCAGGGGCTGAGTCTGTCTGTGTCTGCATAAGCTCCAGGCTGTTGTACACCATGTTGCCCCTACTGGGCAATGACAGCATGTGGACCTCGGCCCTCCCTCACCTATCACAGCCATCATGTCTCAAGTTCCACCTCTCTCCGTGGCGCATGCACTGCTCCGTTTTTCTATCTTGCCCACCTCTCCACGTATGTGTTCATTGCGGTGACACTGGCCTTGCCCTGGTCTGTGAGGCCAGGGCAGAGCTTGGGTGTCTTCCGGAGTCCAGTATCTTCAATTTTAAATTGAAAAATAGCTACATACAAAACTTGAATCACAACAAAATCTATATTATTGAGATAGGGTGTCAGGTAGCCCAGGCTAGCCATGGGTTCCATGCAGGCAAAAATGACCTTGAACTTCTGATCCTCCTGTCTCTACTTCCCAAGCATTGGGGTTGGGATCACAAGTGTATGTTACTATGCCTGGTTTATGTGGTATTGCAGATCAAACCCAAGGCTTGTATAAGCTAGGCAAACATTCTACCAACTGATCTATGCCTCTAGCCCAACAAAACCTACATGAGTCAACAACATGCCTCCGCCTCACATTGTGTCCATGAAAACTTCCCTTCAAAGATGAGTCGGGGGAGGAACAGGGAAGGATGTTCCTGAATACTGCCCGCCCGAGAAGCAAAGGAAGAGGATGGATGAGTCAGAGCACTTACTGTAGGTGTTGCCATGGGGAATCATGAAAAGCAGGGCCCATGGAGCTGTCACTGCTGTAAACCAGAGGTACATTTGGAGGGGCAAGAGTGAGGGAAAATGGATGGGATGGAGTCCTGCCTATCTGAGCTCACAGATGGGAAATTGTTTCCACTGGGTGGACATGGGGGAAGGGGTCAGTTCCCGTGACCAAGCCTTGGGGAAGCGTTTAGCTCCTCAACCCTTGTAATATAGACATCTGTGACATGAAATGTTTGCCACAGCCTCTTTCCTCACTGTCACCCTGTGTCTGAGCCCTCCAGAGTGGTTCCCAGCAGGAAGGATTCCCAAAGACACCACTGTAAGACCACCCTGCACTGGATGGCCCTTCCTTAGGTCGAATCCTCCCTCCCAACAGATCCCTCCAGCTCTGTTTTCTCGGGATCTGTAAGTCTCTTGGATTTCTAACTGTTGTTACTAACCCAAACTCTTTTAAACCTCCCATTTCTTTACTGGGCACTGTGGCCTTGGTCCCTAGGTACATTCCATCCTTGACCTTGGAGGACTCCCCAGTCCAAAGGACCCTAACCATCTTCCCCAAGACCTGATCCTCACTGCAGCTCCATTTCTGTTTCTGAATCATTGGATCTGGACATATACAGACTACTGGGGATGGGATGTGGGAGCTTGGAAATTATGAAAAAACAATGGATAAGGAGGACTTTGTGTTTTGGCGTTGGCTTCAGGGGTGGGGGCTAGAGACACAACAGGAGGAATGCCAGTTCCCCTCCCCTTCGTGGTTGACTCTTCCTCCCTCCCTCCCTCCCTCCTTCCCTCCCTCCCTCCCTCCTTTCTATCCTTCCTTCCTCCCTCCCTCCCTTCTATCCTTCCTTCCTCCCTCCCTTCTATCCTTCCTTCCTTCCTCCCTTCCTCCCTCCCTCCCTCCCTCCCTTTTTTTTTTTTTTTTTTAAATATCTTTCTGAGTGACTCCTCTCCTGCTAGGGCCTTTCCCATGTCAGTCCTTGCAGTATGAGAGGGTCCCGTGAAGCATTAGGTTCCTGGGGTTAGTGTAAGATGGGCATCTTTATGATGGAGGGATGCTCACTTCTGACTTAACTTGTGAGGGAGTTCTGTATAGGAAGTGTAGAGTCAGGCCTCCTTCCATGGATCCAACCAACCACAGATAGAATAACATATTTGAAAAAGTTTCATCTGCACCAAACATGTACAGGCATTTTTGGTTTATTGTGCAAATACCAGAGTAACAACTGAATGCCATTTGTGTTGTTGAGGTATTATAAATCACCAGAAGACTCTTAAAGGACTCTGGAGGATATATGTAGGTTTTAGGCAGATGGATGTCCTTTTATGAGCTCCAAGGACATATGTATTTTGGTAGCTCTGGGAAGTTTTGGAACAAGTCTCTTCAGATATTAAGGAAAGACTCCTGGGGACAGGAGCTTTAGCACCAGTTTCGGGCACAGAACTCCCAATCCTGAGTAAGAGTGTCCTTCATTATTCATAATAAGTGCTTAATTTTTTTTATTTATGTGCATGTACACACATAAATACATGTAGAGGTCAGAAGGCAACTTTTGAGAGATGGTTCTCATCCTCTGCCTTCTTCAGGTTAGGTCTCTGTTATTTCTGCTGCTGCTCAGTGTACCCCAGGCTGGCTGGACCATGGGCTTCAGGTGGATTCTCCTGTCTGCCTCCTACCTCACCATAGCAATGCTGGGGTTACTGCATCTGGCTTTTTTTTTTTTTTAATAGGACCTCATTATGTAGTCCTTGCTAGCCTGAAACTCAGTATGTAGCCTAGGCTGGCTTGAATTCAAAGATCCATCTGTCTCTACTTTCTGAGTGCCAAGATGAAAGGCGTGTGCCACCATGTCTGGTTTTAACATGGGTTCCAGAGATAACACTCTGGTCATCAAGCTTGAATAGCAAGCACTTTCCCCCACTGAGCTATGTCCCTGGTTTCATAATAAGCTCCTTTGACCATACCTGAGTGTACTGAGGTGGCTTTTGGGGGATCCCTACAGAGCTTCAGGATGAGACGTATCACCAAATGAACCAACCATCTTGTTTGAAGATGGAAACTTTCCTTAGCCTATCTTAGGGAGAGAAAGAGATTGTGTCAGTCACCAATTCATTCAGTCTTACTGTCTCAGCCGGTGTTCTGTTGCTGTGAAGAGACACCATGACCACAGCAACTCTTACAACAGAAAGCATTTAATTGGGGCTTGCTTACAATTTCAGAGGTTTAGTCCATTGTCATCATGGTGGCATGTGGGCAGACATGATTCTAAAGTAGTTGAGCGCCGGCTGGTGGTGGTGGTGGTGGTGGTGGCGGCAGCAGCAGCAGCAGCAGCGCACGCCTTTAATCCCAGCACTTGGGAGGCAGAGCTAGGTGGATCTCTGTGAGTTCGAGGCCAGCCTGGTCTACAAAGTGAGTTCCAGGAAAGGTGCAAAACTACACAGAGAAACCCTGTCTCAAAAAAAAAAAAAAAAAGTAGTTGAGCATTCTACATCCAGATTCGCAGGAAGCAGGAAGAGAGAGACTCTGGACTTGGAATGAAACCCCAAAGGCCACCCCTTAGTGACATACTTCTTCCAACAAGACCACACCTTCCAATCCTTTCAAATAGTTCCACTCCCTGGATGAGTCTGTGGGGGCCATTCTTATTCTGCTGGGCTACTTCCCAGGCTCCAGGTCAGTGTTTTCAATCTGGGGTTTTAGTCACGCTGACCACGTGTGTCTCCAGAATTCCTCTGTGTTA